TGCTGAACATGGGGATAGAGCGACTTATGGGAATGTCCTGAGTGCTGTGATGTCAGATCTTAACTCAGCTGAACTCACAGTGAGTTGCAGTCTTCATTTCATTTTTGCTTGCTGTTGTTTAGGCATGTTTGCCGGTAGTCTGATCCTTTCCTTCTACTTGTGTTATTTTTTAAAATATTAATCTGAATAGGCTAAATATACACCTTTGGGAAAGTCACTGATTTCTGCTTCCTGTTGTAATGTGTAGCCACAACTGCATGGACAGATACTTAAAGGCACACTGGGGTGCTGTATTTGAAACACATGAACTATATAGTTTCCGTCTGATTCATCACTGAGTGTGACAGTGTTTCAGCTTGTTCGCAAGTAGGTCACTTGCGAGACATGTTTACTTTCAGGTTGCTACTTTTATACAGGTGATTTTATGAAGTTCAAACAAGAACATAATGGACCATTACAAAAATATGGTTTCGAAAGCAGAATTCAAAGTGAAAATTAGCAAGCAGTAATAAAAGTGAATAAGTAAATAAAGTAAAAGTTTTATAAAGAATTTATCAGATACATTCATCAACTATAGGTTTTCTGTATGGAGTAATGACAATCCTGGTAACATATCGCAGGTAGATAGAAACTTATGAACTATTAATCCCTTCAGACAGTGTGTTGAAAGTTTGCTGTTTCTTATCTTTCTGTCATCAATGTTTATTTTCTTCACTTACTTTACCTATACATTTTATTGTGTGTTGAATTAAGAATCTACATCATAGCACTTGACACCCTCATAAGCACTCAATCACCATCTTCAGCAGCAAGTGAAGAGTTTAAATTCTGATGGCACCAGTAATTGTCTGATTATATATATCCGTCTCAGTTTTCCCTTGAGTGTTGAAAGGTGGCTAGATCCTCTGGACACTTCTCGCAACGCCATTCTCCTCAGACAGTAATCATCTGTTTGTGCCTCTGTACTGTTCACTCGCTCCCAAAGGCCCTCACAGCATCTAGCTTGTCATACATTAATTCACCACTGAGTGGTGCAGAACCAGCCATTCTGTCTGCCTGCTCATGTCCCAAAACACCAACATAACCCGGACAAAATACCCAAAGGACACTAACTAACTGGGACATCTGAAGCGATGCTTGCCACTCTGCATGGATCATCTATGTCTCCACCTTTCTCAACATCCTCTGTGAATCAGTTGAATTTACGACATGCTTGTACAGCTTATTTTGAAACCAGCATTGACTGCCTCCACCTTCATTCTCAAACTAGATGTTGTGATAATGCCAGACTTTGCTGCACCAAGCATCATCCATTTGGTTTTGCTATGAACCCCCGTGCGCTTCACCTGCCTCTCAACACAGAGCCATCTATATAAATAATCACATCACCCAGGCAGAAACTGTCGTAAATCATTTGTTGAACTTCTGATTATGCAGTACCAGCTGGTCAGTCCCTGCACTCACGACCTAAAGTGATTAGAACCCTTCACAAATCTCATTCTTGCTCAGACACTTTACTTTATTGCAGTACTTTCAAACAATAATTTGTATTGTTTATATTTGTATTATGTAAAAGGACAGGGTTAACATCATTAGCCTCATTTCTCTCATCAGCTGTTGTTCAAGAAGTCCAGCTTTTGACATGTCTATTTTTGAGTCCTACTACTAGGCGCGTCCACTGGGTAGCAGTCATTGAGAGGAGGGCAGCTAGCTGGTGGAATAGCTAGATCTATAAAATACCTCAAAACTCTTGTGACATGGCCATCGGTGGGTAAGAGGCGCAGTTATAACCTCTCCACCCTGCTGCCTTGTAGGGTGTGTCTCTTTAGACAAAGGCTAATGGAGTAAATCATAAACAGACAAGCGGTAGCAAGGGGGAACCACCACTGTATTTTCCCTAGTTAATCAAAGAGACAGTCATAATTTTTTGGTCATGTTATGAGAAAAGGGAACATGGAACATTTTGTGACCACTAGAAAGATCTCTGGAAAAAGAGACAGAGGACGACAGCGTGAAAAGATTCTTGACAGTCCTTTGTCATGGCATTGAGGAGTGTCAACACACAAACTGATAAACACAGATGCAGATTATGGAGAGGCATGGATTACCCACACCAGTCGGCAAGGCACTTGATGATGATGATATTTGAGAGATGGCTGAAATTCTCTGATAACTGTGATTGTCTGTGTAGGTCAATGTGGCCTTGCTGTAAACTGCTTTTAGTGAAGTCTAAAGCCCATTATATTGAGAACTATAGAATTAGCTAAAATAATGATCTAAGAGTGTACTGTCATCCTATGCCCAAACTCCTCCATCAAGTGAATAAGCAGCAACCTAAAATTCAAATTGCCCCATTTATCATCTGATTGCTGAACTCTTTCAGTCCTAAGCATTGAAGGATCTGTGTCCCAGACATTACATCATACATTTTATTACACTCCCCTCGTGTCCCCCCTCCCCGATACCTGTTCAGTTAGAGAATACAGAAGAAGAAACAAAGCTTAGTTTGTAGAGTTAAGTTAAGTCAGAATAAATCATTCAGAATAGTGAAAATTTATGTTAATCTGTTGTGTTTTTGCAGTAGTTAAGCATTATGTCTTTCAAACAACTTCATTAGTTTCTGAACATTCATGTGAGTTGTAAAGAGAGATCTAGAAATGACTAGAAGCATAACTTGTGTTAAGCTGACCGAAGATGAGGTCATGGCCAACACACACATGTTGGCACACAGCCAGCTGATGTTACAATGTAGTCAATACAACATATGTCACAGTGTATGCTGGTGTGTTTGTTGCATAAATTAACAAGCAAATTTAGACTAGAGTAGACGAAATAATGCACATTTTATTGATCATGCAATTGGCTTACGCAGATTAGTAGTGTTAAAAACCCAGGATGGTTTTTATTGGAAGGACCTGAACTGTTGACATCGTCTGAACAGCTTGGTAGTGATGTTAATAAGCTAGGGCAACTGTTGCATCATCAATCTTGTTTTCTAATACTTCTTTATGTCTGTTCTTTATAAACTCTCATGTAATGAGAAAAGAAATGGTGGAAAACATTGTGATGACTGGAAAGATAAAATGTAGTAGAGATACTTGAATCTATTTATGAGTATTCTTCTTGTTAAGCAAAATTTTAATCAATGACATTGAAGATGATGAGAACAAGTAGAATAGTTTTCCAAAGGGAGCACACCTGTTACATGGAGGAAAAAAGGGGGGGGGGGGGGCACGGGTATGGCCGGAAGGGAGGGAGCTACTTCAATTAGATTTGGTGGTTGCTGGGGGGGGGGGGGGGGGGCAATAACTGCTTCGACCAAATGTGGTGGTCGCTGGTTGAGGATGAGGAGAAATTGGCAGCCTCAGATGCAGTAGCCTCAATTGAATTACAGTTGGAGGACATTGAATAAAATAAGACAGCAGGAGATTGGTGGTGGGGGGGGGGGGGGGGGGGGGGGGGGGGGGGGGGGTTGTTAAATCTTTCGCACCTGTTTCATTGTAGTGTAAAATTAGAATTTTTGTGATTGCTTAATCATCCTAATAAACATAGATGTTACATTATAACAAATCAGGTTTATCCTTCTCATCAACATTCATTTACTCATTTACATGTTTTCTTGGGTTCTATTTGAATATTTCTGTACTTTCAAACACTAAGGGAAAGTAGGGCCTGAACCTAAATTTCTGCAATCAACAGTTACTCACAATATGCTTTTCTGAATGAGAGGCGCTGGCTGTACCAACCAATGGATAGGACTTTAATAGCCTTTTCTGCAAGTTGGTAAAATTGAGAGAGGGAGTTTCTCTGAGCAGCAGACGACAGTGTTATACTGTGTTGTAGAGAATCAAAGGAACCATACCTAATTATAGCCAGGGAAAAAAATTTCTCCTTTCCATATCACAAAGCCTGCGCAGTATTCTAGAGACCATATGTTGCCCATACAGCGTGATTCTTGCTTGCTCTGGCTTGTTTACTTTCATAGACTACAAAATTCACAAAAAAAGGTAAAGTCAGGAGATGTGAACCAGTGTCATTGCACACGATTATAAACCATAAGTGCTTTGCCACCAGTACCGACAGCTGATAAAAATTGTCCGCCTGTGTCGCCATCTGCACATAACTCTGTTGCTACAGCAATGTTCCTCCATTTACCCCAGAGTGTCAACTCTGGTACCCATTTCCTAGAGGCTGGGTGAACCCCGGGAGCCGCCTGGTTTCGAACACCGACTGTGGGCTGCAGCGAGTCGCAGCTGGATTTGAAAGCGAGCCTCTTATCGACTGCGCTAACGGGGCACCAGTAGCAGTATTTTCCTGTCATACATGCTACATTTAACAACATCTTAACCCTAGTTTGGGCTTGTTAGAAGAGTGGGGTGGAGTCAACTGTTTGTGTTCGCTACCTTGGCCTGTATTTGAAAGTGACAGGTTGTAAAAACAAATGTTTACATTGTATGTAGCAGACCATTAAGCAGGACAGGTTAGCCACCTAATCTCCATAAACTGTGCACAGATTTGACATAGTGGTAATGCTAAGGGAATATTTCTTTGGTCTGTATTTTATTTGTCAGATCTCACTGATGATTGTGAATAGATCTTTTAAGAAATTTTCAATGAGTTAATCAAATATCTTGGAATTGTATTAGTGTTGGCCATCAGTCTGTTCTTTATAACTTGTGTTGCTTTCAGTTTCTGTTCTTGGTTTGGTGGAATTCTTTCACTGTGTTTTGATGCATGTGGCTTAGCTTGGTTTTGCTTTGTCCCATATGGGACATGCTGCCCTATGTACATGCAGTGTGTTTTATGTGTTCTTAATGCATTTACTTTAGAGAGAGAGAGAGAGATGTTTTGTAAAGGCCATGCCATTTTATGATGAATGTTTGCAAATAGGATATAGTTATAATTTAAGTTTAATTTAATTTAAGTCCTAACCATCTGTGACCTCTTTCATTGCTGGCTTCATTACAGGAAGGACCACCTTTGTCCCGCTCAACCTTGTTATGACTGCCTACGTATGTATTCTAATCTCTTTATACATCTAAGTTAACTAACCTATACAAGAATGTTGTTAATACCTTCTACGCAAATAGCTGATGAAAGTAGAACATATACAACAATGAGAAGGAGACAAAATTCTCTGGTCAAATGATGAGAAAAGGAGCACTGCAGAATATCGTGACGACTGGAACGATCACTGGTGGCAGAGGCAGACCAAGAGAAATGATGGTGGATGGCTTGAGACAGTGGCATTGAGGAATATCATTAGTGGGATTGATCCAGAACGCCAAAGACCGACATCTAGGGAGATGCATGAATGCCTACGCCAGCTGGCAAGGCACCTGATAATGATAATGATGATGATCCTTTACACATGTTTATTATGTGTTGTAGTTTCCTATAAAAGGTTTCACCTTCTTAGCCACTATGATAGGTGCATATATTTGTATTACTGTGATGTAAAATGTATTACTTTAGGTTATGTTATTCTGCTTGATATTGGTCAACATTTGATTATTGACTCCTTAACATTTTAATGTACAAAGAGTCCTAGTCCCCTGAAATTTTCATAATTATTCATCCGCACTATAGAAAGACATCCGTCCGTCACCTCCTTTTTAAACAACACCAGTTTGTGTGCTGTTTGCCTGTTGTAGACTTTGAGCTCATGAGTGAGTTCATTCAGTTTTTACATGTGTGCTTTTTGTCATGTTTCATTCGATAATTATATTCTTTACAACTGTTTATTAGATTGTGTGCTAACATGTGTATCCAAGAATGCTGTATATGCTTCATAAAAATAGTCTTAAAGATGTCTACAGGCCAAACTTAATTTCACCATGTTCTAGCCATTTGTCTCTCTCTTAAAAGTAACTGGTCACCCCCAAAAAGCCTCATACAAAAGCTACTCTTGATGACTGTCAGGGATCTTTGAAAAACCTGCACATGCACAACCAGTAATGGAGTCTGAAACTGAATTCTTGACCTTCAGAGCACAAGGTGAACAATTTAACAACTCTGCTACAGAGTGTCTCTTCCCTCCCCATTGACTGGGAAATAAACCCAGGTCATCTGTATGACAGGTGAGTATTCTACTATTTGACCTCTAATGACAGTAAATATTCTTGCAGTTATATAACATCTGTGTTAATAACACAGGTTTCTTGTATACATTTGTTTTTAGCAAATATATATTATTAGGTTACAAATTCCTGAGACAGAGTAAACAAGCCTTTGACCGGCAGATATCCATGATTAGAGCTGGTCATGTCGGACTGAACATCTCTTGTAACAAGTACACTGAACCATTCAAGTCTACCAGAGAAGCAATGTTTCTTTTATGCTCATACTTAGTTAGAAATTCAGGTAACAGTACTCAGGAAAAGATAAGGTGTTTTATTTTGCTTTACAATAATTCAAACAAATTTGGAACAATGTGCACTTAATTATAAGTCTCTAAAGGTTTATATATCAAAGGCAGAAGTAATATTAGAATTGCTGCAATAAATAACATTACAGTTTAGAAATTCAATTGTCAGACAATCTTAATGAGTACATTTTTTCTCTCTTTCCATTCAGACAAATAAGAGGACAGGGCAGAGTATAATGAACAAAATGGCAGCAGTTAATGGAGATGCAGTCTTTGGTGAAGCTCACAAAATCCGAGCAGAGGAATCACAGAAGGCTGTCACAAGCTTTATGGGAATGTATTTAATTGTTGCCTTCACTGTTGCCTTTTCCTGGCTACTTGGGTACTTTGACTTTTCATTTCTGTGGGTGTTCATTAGTATTGCATCGTTATTCATTGTTTGGAAGACCAAAATTGGAAAAGTTATCGCCCAACATTTAAGCAATGAAGAAGCAACTCTCTACAGGAAAAGGGCTTTTCGACAGAATGAAACGGCAGAGTGGTTTAACTTTTTGTTAAACAGATGGTAAGTGTTGTGACAGATTTGAGATTTCATTATTATAATCTTCATTTCCAGGCATACTGCAAATGATACTGTCCACTGCATTACAATATTTGTTTCATATCTGGCACAGTTCATAGAGTGCTGCTGTTAGATGTTTGTAGTTTTTGCTCGTTACTGTTATAATCGCTAAATATGCCTTTGTGAAAAGAGCCATGTATTTATTTTTCTTTATTGACAGAATTTCTGATGCTGCACTTTTCAGAGCAGGGAGCTGCCATGTTGTGGTGGCTGAATGCTTGCCTGTGGATCCAAAGGTCTTGGGTTTAAATCTGCAGGTTCCTAGGTCTACCCAGCCCTAAATGGGTACCAGGTGAAGTCCTGGGAAGTAAAGGCAGCCGGCAAGATGTTGACCACAGCACCCATTGAGCCCAGTTAGTCGGTATACAAATGTAAGTCGAGCCTGATATGCCTAATGTGCCAGTGGCATGTAAAGGGACCTTGACTTATGTGTTTACCTCCTGTCGCGCGCCCACGTGGGTAAATACACTGATATAGTGAGGGTGTGGGTTTGAACCTTAACAATGCCCACCCACGTGAGAAACTGGACTATTATCTAAGCTATGTTGATCCTAGACAGTCCTGGATAGCCAAGAAAACATGAAATGAAAGTTGCTGTACTTGTATCCACAGGAGTAGGAGAAGGGATAGATAGATAACTGGATACACCCACTGTGATATAATCCAGGTGCTCATTTAACCCCTCCGACTGCTCTCCTCTCCTGGCATTACTTAAAAGCCCCCATCAAGTGATTTAAATATTTGTTAGCTGAAGTAAACTAATATGCACAAAGACACTTGAACCTAAGTACACAATTTACTCAAATATCATGAAACTCATCATACATGATTTATTTAATAAATCTGACTAAAATAAAATGAACTTGTTTAGGCTAGTAGAGTTGGGATGATGTTATAGATGACATTAAAGTTGTACATAACTTAGCTCATCAGGACAGTTCTCGGCTTGAGACCCTGCCTATCCTTTCCAGTTTGTCGTCCTCACTGCTTTCTGCAGGTCGTTACACTCGACGGTCGGCAAATAATGGATGCCTACTAGTCCCTGCCCAATGTGGGAACTGGAGAATGAAGAAACAAGCGCATATTTGTAGTATCTGCTCTAGATGTACACTAAGCATGTATATTATACTAACATCAAGCATGTTTATTTAAATAAAACATTTCATCTCTCCCTCATGCTCACATTCACTCCTGTCCAATTTGGAAGGGCTTATGTCTCACATTCCAACTGTTACATCTTCTGCCTTCCTCTACACGTCCTGTAATGATAGTCAAGTCTTCTACGTCAGGTGCCATCTCTCGTACAGACTCAAAATGACAATCAGTCAGACAGAACCAGTTCTGGAATCTATGCTTGGAACAATCGACGCGCCCAGAATGCTAACAATAGTTCTGGGGCGAATCAAATAACAAATCTCGTGGATTTACTCTCCGGGATCAATCTCCGCATTAGCCTCCCGAGAGTTAAACACATTTCAGTGTGCTAGCTGTATGTAATACAGATTCACATTAACCACACGTGAAAAGATTGCCAAAGTTATCTTCACGCTTGTGATTTTCAAAAACATGATAGTTCATTAAATTTCAATGGCAACAACAACATTTAGGTTTTACAACATTGAAACACATGTGCACGAAAAACATTCATGACACTATCAAATAGGATATAAAGCAATGTGACAGTGCCCTACGAGAATGAAGAAATGTCCGCCTAGGAGTACTACAAAGTGATGAAGACACACACTTGAGTAAAAAGACAGTTAGAACTCTATCATAAAATATAGATTTGAACCTAATTTCGATCTTACCTGGAAAAATGAAACCACAATGCCAAAAGTTCTGTCTCAAGCTTAGGTTAAGCCCAACAGATGGCATGTGCTCGACAGGATCTCATTTACCAGACCTATAGTTCACCCCTTTATAACTTTTATCAAGCTCCTCCTACATTACGCCTAAAATCATTCTCATTCAGGGATATCACAGCTCCTCCCTGTGGGTGTATATTCACTGTCAGTCAGTGACTGTACAACAATTGTTTGAATTCCCACGCTAGGATCTCCTGGTTCAATTAAGCTGGTCAAAGCTAATAAGACAAGTAACACCTCCAGTCTACTTCACCTGTCATCACAATAAAATCCGACTTTGTCAATTCTTCTGCCAACACTTTCCGCACACTGTGTCAATAGTGACGATCTGACCGGCAATCCAGTTTAGGTAACCTCAGGGGGAGATAGTTAGTTAGTTAGTTAGTTAGTTGGGTTATCATCATTGCACTCCGGACATGTCCATAGGTGCTCAGATCCTCCCCTCAGTATGAATCCCAACGTCCGATGGCTAATAGTACCAGTTCTATGTTGATTAACAAGTCTTCTGACGTGTCCGGTGTGCGTCTCGTTTTTTGCTGTGCCGATCTTAATTCCCAAGTCTGCCATTCTGGCGAGTGATGTGGATTCACTGCCACCAAAGTCCTCTATCCTTCCCATTTCTCTGAGGGCATTGATAATATCAGCATGATCCATAGGCCGACCGTCGGTAGTGATAGCGGATCCAGCCAACCTGTCAGCTCTCTCATTTCCATCGACGCCTGCGTGTCCCGGAAAAAAAATAAAGGTGACTCCTCGCACAGTGGACTTCTGAATTGATTCAAGCCATTGTCTTCGCACTGAACCTGCCTGAACCCTCCGGATCATACTCATTGAATCACTGAGTATACATATGTGGGTGTATTTTTGTGTTTCAAGCCAGGCAAACGCTTGCGTCACTGCCATCACCTCCATCGTCATGCTGCTGGTTGTCATGGAGAAGGCGCCGTTGGCTTCTTTGACTGTTCTGCCCGCTGAGCGTGCTGTAAATGCCCATGCGCTTCTTCTTTGGCGTATAACTGATCCGTCTGTATAGATTAGTGCATCTGCTTCGTCTGAATTTTCACCGATGAGAGCGTTGACCTCTGCATTAACAGCAACAGGATTATCTTCTCTACATCGCCTGTTGAGTGTGACAATACAGGAAAATGTACAAATAAACGCCTGAGGCACAGGTATCCATTCTGCACCAGGTATGATGTCGGTTAGGCTGCATATTTGCCTAATAACATCTTCTGCCCGACCTAGCCACGATTTTCCCCTCTTCAGTCTGTCGCCCTTTTCACTAAGGGGAGATAATGGCAATTTCAGGGGGAGATAATGGCAATTAGCCCTTGTTATCTGTTCCTGAAGATCTGGCAGGGGGAATAACTATCTGACACCAACAAATGGTGTGCAAATCTCCAGTCAGTAAGTCTGCTTGGTCAGTCTTATCTCTGTACCTCAACACTTAACGTCTGGGAAAAAGTTTTAGTGTGTGATATCGCCAACATCCCAGGAGAATTAAATGCTTGTTTATTTCGCCTACTTAGATTAAGGATGTATCCAAATCCCTATTTGTCTGTATACTTCAAAATACATACAAATAAAAGTAGGTTGAGGAAAGTCATTCTGAAGTCACCGCGCGTATTGTCACAGAGCCTCCCCTTAAGTTCGGTCACCCTGACCGCACATCTGCACGCTCTGTGGCTTCCAAGAATTTCAAGTCCTCCTTTGTATAACTGCCCATAAGTTTTCTGTTTCCAGTATTCTTTATGGCAGTGGGAATTCCTGCACTCGTCTGCAGATATCCCATGTCCTTTCATCCAGGATAATTCATTACTGTCATTGATCCTGGTAATGAGCGGGTATTCCAAGCAGTCGCTCGGTAATGTCCCTTTGTCCGGAGGTTCCTCCTTCCATCGGATAATCAAAGATCCATGCTTTGTCAACGGGACTCCTCTGCGCCGTTGACTGACAACCTCTGTGCGTTTCCTCACTTCGCCGCGCCCTATCTGCCTAGGGAGAGCCTGAAGTGTTCTACTAAAAGGATTAGTCGCAGTCAGGTTGGATCCTCTTCTCCTCAGTCTACAGATCTTTGAAAAATCTGTTACAAATCTCCTCTTAAAACGAGGGATTTCTTCACTCATCATGATCCCATGAAGTGAGTGCCACTTACCACTAACCGTTTCTTTGAAGAGTGTCCATTTGTTTCCTCTTCGGTGCATTCTGTCTTTACCTTGCCAAATTGTCAGGGTGGAATTGTCTTTAACAAAGATCAGTCCAGAGTCAGAGCACGAAATCAAGTCAGGGTATACAGTCAAATCAGTAAAAAACTCAGGGTTTCCTGTAGACTGTAAGGTGGGATTTCTTCGCAATGAAGTTTCCAACACCAGCTGAGATATTCCTGTCACTTCCTTCGAAGCAAAGAGTACTACAAGACCAGAATGTTGGGATTCCCTACTACTCACGGCTTGTTCCGCTTCAGGGTCCTTCATCAGAAGTATCCCTGTCACCCCAGCTGTACAAGGCAGCAGAGACAAGTTGTCTCCCTGCTTAGAAGAAGTATTTTCTTCTTCGATAATGGCAAACACTTCTGTTTGTCCATTATCAGAGCGCACAGGACTTGCAGAAATGTCCTGTTTATGTCGAGTCTCTAAGATCGTCAAGACGTCCAGAGAACTCTCCTCCTCATCTGCTATATTCACATTGGTCTGGCTTTCATATGCCAAGTCCAGTGAAAGCAAATCAGGAGGTGTGTTGCCGCCATCGCAGTCAACTCCTTCGGGTGTAAAGTCAGAACTAACACATTCCATTAGGCATGCGGCCGCATCCAAGGAAATAGGGGACACAGGTTCAGCGTTATTCCCTACATCAGTCTGCTTTAATTCCTCTTCTTGCATGAAGGGACCAAAGGGGATATGGGAGTTGGGTAAGTCTTTGCCCTCGTCCTCATTAATGTCTGGTGTGGCAGTCGAACCGCTATGTCTACGGTTACAACCGTTATCACGCTTGTCACTATTGTCAGGTTCGCTCTCATTTATCTCGTCTGAGGTAATGGGAGTAAGGGGTTCCAGCAATGTAGATCTGGTCCCTTTAGAA